GTGTGTGTGTGTGTGTGTGTGTGTGTGGATTATTCTTCAGGGGAGAGGACTAGATTTAAGAAGTCAAACCCTGTGAATACAGGGTGAGGAAGATGCGGAGGAGGCTCGACGTATTCAATGGTGGTGGCTTTGGAGTTGACGGATATGTTGTCGAACTCCGGATCGTTATGTGGGAGTTCCTCCAGTTGAGCCTCTACTGGAGGAGAGTGGAAACGGACAGGCGAAGGGGGTCTGTACTCCAGGAGCTCTTCTAGGATCGGAGAAATGGACCTGGGGGTAGGAAGTGGTGAAAGGTCAAGAATGGGTTCAGGAGATTGTTGAGGAGATTCCTGAGGAATCGATGGTGATACAGAAGGTGGGTCGGTTTGAGTGTGTGTGGTTGTACGAGAGTTACTACGTGGGGTGTGTCGCCTAATTCTAACGGGTCTTACGGTGACCCTCGCCGCGTATCTAATGTATGGTGGAAGAAATATAGCTATGCAGAGAGCGAATGCCGAAAGGTCCGAGCGATTTCGACGATTGTTGGGTCGCGGCAAATGTTCAGTTCTCATCGTTACAGGATAGTTTCGGATTGGGTTGAATGTGTACGGTGGTTTTGAGCAGGCGCTCCGTTGAGGTATGGTGTGTAGGCGTCGGACCCTTTGTAAACGTGTGGGCACTCTGCTGCGGGATGGTGTCGTCAGGATGATGGACCCTCTATTTGAGATGCACCACTTGGTCGTGACAAAGTATCGACCTTTTTTTATTTCGCGGCCCAAACTACTCGAAAAACTGTCTTAAGGACTTGACAAAACTTGCTTGATGAACTGAGTGACTAATTGTGTATAATTGTGTTTGGAGCCACCAAAACACGGGTTTTTATACTCTTTCCTTGGGGTGGATCCATTTGGAAAATCTTAGGTTTTTGAAGCGGGGATCGAATAAGAATTAGTCTTGTGAGAAGATTTTTAATGTGGGGGAGGGTGGCGTCATTTTTAGCTAATAGGATTAGGTTTAGGTAATTAAGTTACTTGGAATGGGGGTAAGAAGAAAGGGGCCCTAACGAATAAGGAATAGCGTCGTTTCGGGTCCATATGCGATGGGGGTAGGTTTTTGAGGTGGCGTAACCCGGTTGGTGTTAATTAGTATAGGTAGGGTGCATCTCAGTGTCTTAAGATCTAGGTTGGCGTAGTCTTTAGATCGTATGACGGAACGAAGGGTGGTCTATAGAGGTGCGCAAATTTCCCAGAAATAGAAGTACGTAGACATTAAATTTATTGAAATACAATACAACTTATTAACTTGCTTAATACATATACAGGGTGTCCCAGACTTACCGTATCACCCGTTAATGGCACATTTCTGAGGTCATTTGGAGACAAAAATCTTAATACCAAAATGTCGAGGCTACTATAGTATTTGAATGGGAAAGGCTTAAAGTTTACCAATCAGCTTGTCAGAATTTCGCGCGCTCAGGGACATCGCATCTCGAAAGGACCCTGCACAACACTTTATGTAGCAGATCATACTTCGTACCGATAGTATTGATTTTCTCTCATGACATGAGATGCAATTATTCCTCGAAGAGGAATATTATAACATTGAACAAATATAAAGACTTAAGTAAAACATTAACAAACTTACGAACTGTCTCACTATTTGGTTGGATTTGGTTGCCACTCGCTTATCAAATGCATATATTTTTTGCTTCACCTGAATAATTAGAAATTATATATAACATTGTGGGGATTAGGAGAAAAATGACGATAGACACAATTTTTCGAGAATATATATTTTAATCGTCCGCAGCGTATCAGGTGGTATACGCCTCCTTTCCTCTCCTAACCGCGCGCGCGGCAGCCGCTAGGGCCAGCGCTGCCGAGCGTTAGGAGCGGCGCTATCCGATAAATGTTAGGTTCTTCTCCCTTGATCATTAAAAATTAAAAAAATTTATTAAAAATATTTTTTTTTATTTTTAAATTTATTATGTGAAAATATTTCAATAGATTTCCACGTCACCCATGAGGTACT